GGTCACCTGTCCTATGCGGTCATTTTATTTCCTCCCAATGAATTTTCCTATATAATGTAACTCTATTAAGCGGTCACCTGTGTAACGCGGTCAGCGGTCATCAAATTTCATGTAAAATCGCCGTTTTCCCTTGCATATAGCGGCCATTTTGTCCGATAACGTGACCAGATCTAAAGTCAGGTGACTCCCAATTTTTGTCACTAATGTAAATTGGTCGTGTGTAGCGAGATCATGAAAAAAATAACTGGCCTTATTAAAACCATTTAAAATATTGGATAATTTATTTATTCATTTAACAAAGCTAAACAAGGGTGCTAGTGGCCGAAAAGGTTATCGGGAAAACGGACTTACGAGAATCTTAATCTTCTTGAATTGGAATCTGGTTAAAAAAAATTCTGAATGATACACAAGGCATCCTTATATTTATCTGTTAATGGATACAATAATTAGGTGTTTCCTAATTATTAGTTCACCTTTGGCATGTCCAACTCCTATGGGTGTAATTGCTTAAATGCATGACAGGCCATTTTTAACACATAGGAAACCTATTATTTGTAGAAACCCTAATTAACTGTTTTGTTTACTCAATGTGTCCTGATTATCTTGTGATTTTCAACTAGGTAAGACAACAGTTAGGGTTAGTCACGCTTCATTGGTCACAACACCTGTGAATTTGATATCAATTTGTATTGTGCACTGCTTTGATAAACTGAGAATATTATGACTTGTCTGTTTATTACGCTACTATTTACATACAATTATCAGGACTAACTAAACTTGTTTTTTTAGAGGCAGTTTAGATAAAATATATTTTATTCATGGCACAACATGATAATGTAATCTTATAATAAAAGAAAGTTTTGTTGTTGGTTGGAGGGAGGATAATGGCAGTGCCCTATTAGACTCAATATATTTTTTGTTGGAGTCATCAAATTTATCTTGAACTTAATCTTGAGACTTTTTAAATTAAAAATAAATCTGAGACCATCGATGTCCAAAGCACATCTTTCTTTTATATTCTATGATGTAGTGTTTCAAAACACAGAATTTACATAAATTGGAAAAGAATTTTTCTTGAAAAAAGATGAACCTCTTTTCAAAGGTCACCTCTCTATAAAGGTCACTTTTAATGGTTCCCGCAGGTGACTGCTTAATACAGGTTTGACTGTATATAGGGCTCATGGTTGACAGGGGATGCTTACTTCTTCTTGGCACCTGATCCTACCTCTGTCTTTTTGCCCTGTTTATGATAACTTTTGTTTACTAGATTTATGAGATTGCTCACAGTTCATTGACCTTTTACACATTAAAAACTGTATGGAAGTAAATCTAAGCTTATTTCAAAACTGATGTTAGCTTTAACATGTAAATGTTTGAGTTACGTTTCTTGGTCCATGATTGAGTTTTATTTTTGTGAAGAGAAAAAATTAAAATGCATCTGAATCTGCATCTATTGGCAGATAAATCTCAAAATCTGTGAATAGATCATGTGAAAAAGAAATACCTCAACTGGAATTGCTTGTAACTTGTTAAGTGTAGGGGAGTCCTGATGCATTAAACATGTTAAAAGCTTGATACATAATTTCCCCTAAGTAATCATTTATTTCTCAGCATTTGACAGTTAAATTGTGTTAATCACATAAATGGAGACCTTTCTATGATCGAAGGTTGCATGTAGGCTGCTTGTAACAGAGATGTAGCACTTCATTATTGAAGGAAGTTATTTGTCTTTAATCACAATGATAACCCACGCAGTAATTTTGTCAGTATATGTCATCATTACAATTATAATCAATTTCCATCCAAGCACAGCAGAGAATTCCCTACAAATATCTTTATTACTGATGGCACAAACAGATAGGTTAATTGTAATTAACTAAGAAGGGGGGGGGGGGGTTACAATGGATGTTCCATCTTGAGGTTAAAAAAAGCATTAATTTTTTCTTTAAAAAGATAATCATAATGAATTATATTCTTATGATTATTTTCGAAAAGTCATTAAATATGCAAGTCAATATACATCACTGACCATGCAGATTATAGGTCACCGTTTATAAATGTATTTTCTGCAAAGCAACAACTAATCATTTCCATTTAAATTTAAAAAAAGGATAATTATTTGATTGTTTAATTCAATAGATTTGTCTTGAATTTTAAAAATCACAATGTAAAAGGGATAAGCATAGGAAATGTCTGTAAATAAAGTACATGTATTGTATAAATGTTCACAAGTAGTTAGTACAACAAATCAGGGCTCGAAATAATTGATGGCCCGCTGGTTTGGGGCCAGTGAATTTTCAATCTGGGCTAGTACATTGCAGAGGGCATGTGTCCTTTAGGTCAGCATCTTTTTATGCATAATAAAATTCATTCACAGTAGGACTAGTTAACTTGACAGGGTTGTGTGTCCCAACTTCTGCTGTTTCTTGTTTTGTTAAGTTGTACTTCTAAGTATTCCAATATAAAAAAAATATTACTATTATTATTATGGTTTTGGGCCAGTCTTTTTAAAATCTACTGGCCCAGTGGGACAGTGAAAGTACTTAGCTGACCAGTAAAAATTTAAGGCAATAGCCCGAGTGACCAGTAAACAAAAATAATTATTTCTAGCCCTGCAAATACATTCCACGTTTTCCTGTTCTGATTTGTTTATGAGAACATAATTTGATAATATTGTGCACCTTGTCTATTTATATAACACCTGTATTGTCTAAGTGATTCATCAGATTTGATGGTTAGTTTATATAAGACTCCTCACCTGTGTTATCACAGTCACTGATTCACTGCTCTAGTGTAAACACGAACATTACATCATAACAAACAAAGCTCTATCACCAGAAAATTAAACAGGCTTAAAAAGGACAAAGTACTCAAAGCTCTCTTTGGCTGTATAGTTAATACCTCTTGCATACTTGTTTTTAATTCTTTCCATCAAATCTCAGTATATTGCAGAGTCATTATTATTAAAATTGTTAGAGAAGACAAGGGTAAACAAAATTGTAATGGAATATGAAAAATTTAATACAGGTGTAAATATACTCAGATTTTAATTTAACTATAAATGAATATTTGAATATTTATGATTTACTTATTCTAGTTAAATACAGATTTATGTCAACATGGTCATAAAGCACAGAATTTTCTTTTTCTCTTACATATACGATAATATACCTGCAGGGTTGTCCCTATAAGAATTGAAATAGCAGGGGACAAGAAAAGAGTAGAAGGGCCTTAGGGGGTCTGGGGTTCCTCGCCTAGCAGGGGGTTGGGGAGGAATACTAGAATAACCAGGGGATTACGTCAATATACACGGGAAAATCCCCCAGCCCCCAGGTCTTACAGTCAACCCTCTATCTGAATGAATTTTTTGATGAACTCGAACTATGTCATTAATGAAAGTAAACAGGGGGACCAAAGAGAAATGGGGGGGGGGGGTGTATGATTAAATTGATTTGATAGCAAATATACACATTTAATAGTGCGTAGAAATTTTGCACTTTTTCAATTAACTTGGTATTTGTAAACACAATATTAGATGATGTACATTATACATACATGACTACTTCTTATTAAGGGGAAAAATTGAGTTTCCTAATACTACATCATAATCAATACTCATAATAAATAATGATGGAACCCTATGGAACCTTGTATAACTTAATAAAGTAATATATTACCTAACAACTAAGCCATGGAAACCAATGGAAAACAAATATTAAACACATCTCTTCACATAATTCATTTCATTTATGGCATAATGACACTGCATGTTGGTAAGCAATAAGTCTATCCCATTAAGAATTTGTCACAGCTAGTACAATCTGTTTCTCAAGCCAATATAGGTGTACACTAATGTACAATTTTATAATGTAGCCATGTACCATAAATTTGTGGAAACATGTACCACATGACTGGTATCTACCAGACCTCTCAGAGGATATTCAAATACAGAAACATCAAAATTTTCACCAGGAAATAGATTATTTTGGTGCTGAAACTTTAAAATTTGGATTTCCCACAATACTATCAATGTTAAATAATGTGAATAATGTTGTGAAAGACAAGTGCACATTTCTGAGTCCCCCGTCTATCTTTAGAACTTTACAAAACATGGCAGAGAAGGGCTTGTTCAACAAATTTGAATATAAGTCTGTGAAGGATGTTCAGGGCTTTCAAAAAGATTACAAACAAGTGGTACTTTTACAAAAAAATAGTACTATATGGAAGCAATTTTAATTAAATATCAGGGTTGTCCCTAAAAACCTGGGGGCCGGGGAATTTCCCTGCTAATAATGACGTAATTCCTTGACTACTCTGGTATCCCCCCTTATTCCCCTGTTAGGGAAGAAATCCTAGACCTCTAAGTTCCTACTTTTTTAATGTCCCCTGCTATTTTAATTCTTACGGAAAACCCCGAAATATGTTACTGATTTTTTCTCAATCGAATTTTTTTGCCGGTACAATCATGATTTCAAGTAGGAAAAAGTATCTGGTACGTACCAGCAGATTTTGAAAAGCCTGAATATTGGACAGTCTATCCTCAACGATACACAAAGCCTGAGCTAGGTCTGATCTCAGGCATCGCGATATGTTAATCTTTACACCAGACCACAATGTTTCATGTTTTGTTTTGAATTTTCATTTTTGATGCATCATATAAAGGCTTAAATTTTCTTTTAAGAAATAGGGTTTCAATACAAGTTTATAAATGAATTAAATAAATCTGCATGGATAAGTCAACATATAAAATGGTGGCAATCCATGAATGAGTATAGACAAATCAAATGGAAATCATCAAATGCTATAAAACTTGACTTCCACTTTTGTTTTTTATTATTTTTTTCCCCCAAGATTGTGCGAGTTTTTGGCCTGATCTGACAATTTGGCCATCCTGTACATACATTAAGTATACAGGACAAAATTACAGTGTGGCCCCAAAAACTTTTGCACATTAGAATAGTACGACAAAACTTAATTTTGAAATTTTGATGAAGTTCACGCAGATCTCATCTATCTTTACCATTTTCTTAATCCTTAGAAAATTCTGTGGCACATTGACATTTGATGAGAGATTACAGCAAAGGAACATTTATCACTGCACCAAATTCCAACTGACATGAACATGATGTATATATATATACTTCAAATAATTTAAGTATCTCCATCATAAAAAAAAACTGCATCTGTTGAATTCAGTGTGCAGTGCCAGTAGATGTTTCATTTCTTGACTGCAGTAAATTTTGTAGGATAGATTCATCCCAAACCACTCCAACATAACTATTAGGTTAAATGTTTATGAAGTCTGATATAAATAATCACTGTTCATTACTCCACACAACTTTAAGCATAAGAATAATGGCAATTTCTAAACAGTAAGATTTTAAATGTCCAAAAATAAGGCCACCATCACATATCATATCCTGATACATTTGTGTCAATTCATATACACAAAACAATGCCAATTGCTTTGTGGTATATCGGATAACTTAAGACAACATATGACCTTATAATATAATTCAAAATCTTGAAAACTTACGGTATGGTTAATGCCCCACATAAACACACTCAAAAGAGGTTCATTTGCCCGAAACAACTTCGTTTTCTGAGGCACCGCCTTCAGTTTAAGTTGCTTCCGTTTTTGTTTTGTTTCCTTCGTAGTCGCCATTTCTGGATCTGTTGGTGTTAAAACGATGTCTGAATTATCGTAATTGTCAAGAATTCATGATGCTGTTGTCATATATCACCTAGCTCGTGTCGATTCGAAATCTGATAAGTCAACGTCTACTGACAGATGAGGAGACCCAGAATCAACATCCAAAATGGCGACGAAAACAAAATATCCCAACATGCTTTTTAACAAGAAAGATAACTCTTGTTGTGAACTGGTTAATGCTAGTTTATTTTAGTCGGTTTCTATAAGTTAAAAAAGGTTAGAAAAAAAAACTAAAAATGATCAAATTAAATAGATTTGTACATGCAATATATACATGTAACGTTTAAATTTAATTAAAAGGTAAGAAATGATGAGGTGTTCTTATAATAATGATGTGTTCTTAAAATCAGACCTTCAAGAATACACTGATATGTAGCGCTGCATGCAGGTAAAGAATTTGTTTATTTTTTCACTGAGTGGAGAAGAAACATTCATTTGTCTATCCCTAAATATTTTTAAAGTCAATTCAGGCCCGTAGAACGCGGGAGGCGGGGGTACTTTCTCAGCTATGTATAGAATTTTGCTATAGTAATTTTCCCATAGATGCTGGTGCCCCCCCCCCCCCCCAACTCTCAGACTGTTGCTGTGAGATCGAGCACTGGTAGAATTTTTCCTTTTCATTGCTTTTTAGGAGCCCCCCCTTTTGAATTGAAACCGTTGCTACGGGCCTGCATATCTCTAAAATTAGTTAAATTCATGTACATTAGTAATTGCTATATCTTTAGAGAAAAGTTAATATGCACTTATATTTTCCATTATTAAAAGAAAATCTTGAAACACTAAACATCAGGGAAAAACTATTCGAAAATTAAATTAAAAGTTTTTAAATATTCGAAAATTAAAATAAAATATTTAAAGTCCCAAATTGTATAATTTTGAAAAAGCATAATTTAACTGAATCACTGAGTCAAAAATACGTACATGGCTGTCTCAATTTAATTCATTTTCACTACAATTTTTGCCCAGCCCCAAAAATTAGTTTAGAAAAAAAATCTGCAAATCAATATATCAAAATATGCATGGAGCTAAAATCCTTCATGTTATTATTTACGGAAAAGTGAAGCTTGCCAATAATATTGAGAAGAAAATTGCATGAGCATTTTGAGGAGGACATTACCTTTCGGGCGGATACAGGAATTTATGTTGCGTTGGGTACAATATGAGGCTGGGGGACGGGATGAAGCCCTGGCCCCAAAATCATAAACTGAGAACAGACTTAAGTCAAAATTTCAATTCTGTATAATTTTGTAAAGGATCAAGAAAATAAAACCAAATTTTCAGTCAGTGTTTGTATTTGAATATTTACTTTTCAAACATGTTTGTTGAATTAAAATCAAGATATTTAAAATGTAAATTTTGACTTCAGTCTGTTCTCATTTTATGGTTTTGGGGCCTGATGGGGCCCCTGGATTTTATGGATTTTAAGGGTAAAAGACAACCTTCTAATATCCAACAAGTGTACTCTTGTCCCTTTCCCAAAATAATTTAATATCAATTATCAACTCAGGCAGAGGTTCTCATCCAAAGACATTTTTTTCCGCAGAACATCGACCTTTATTTGTTAATCAATAAGCTGTGATTTGAGGCCCTCGATCTAATTATATTTAATGTTGGAGATCTGGCCTGACTCAATACACATGTATCTGTCTTCTCGTTGTTTTTTTTTTTAAAAATCAATAGGTATGAATAATATTCAACCCCCCCCCCCCCCAAGTTTTAAAACTTTTGAGCCAGAAAGACTTCATGTGTTGAGAGCAGAATCAACATAAGGTGACATAATTTTTGCAAATAGAAAAAAAAGTCACCTAAATAATGTTAAGTACCTTTAAAATTTATTGGAAAAAACTAGCAAAATGTCGCTTGCATCAAGAAGATTTGATACCAATGTGTATCATTTAAGGTCAAGATCTAGTAAATGACTTTAGACTTACTGTTTGGTGCCAGATCCATTATGACGTCATAATCAATTTCAACTTTTCTTTTTCCCGTACTTTATGGCTCTAATATAATTATGTAGAAAATAAAGTATTTACATGGAATTCAATTTGAAATCATGTGAAAAGTAATCCCGATACCTACATTCAATTTAATATTATTTTAAAGAAGAGGCCAAGAACATACAAAGTACCGTTTTCTTAGAGACTGTAGGCAATCTGGATACATTTCCTTTGTCTGATATGGAAAAAACTCCCGTATTCATGACTGCATGGTTTTCTGAATTTTTCATTGCAAAATGACAGTTTAAAATATGATTTTTCATCTTGTTTACCTACAAATTATGCCCCGAAACACCTTATTTGACCAAGCTAAAGTTATAAAGCATCATTAAAGGAATTTATTTCTAAAATTTGAAAAATCTGTAGGTACCTTTCATTTACTAGTTCTTGACCTTAAGTCGGACATTTAATTTATATTTTCATTTTATTTTAGAAAATCTAATGGATATTTAACTGATTAACTGATTTCTGAAACCATGTCTCAGGGAAAAAAGCTGCATGCAAAATTTTGGAGCAAATAAAGCCGCATATAGTATTTCACACCCTCTGAGTAGTGGAAACCTATATTTTGACAAAAATTATATTGATCGACATGGGCGGATCCAGGATTCTTGAAGGTGTGTTCCCCGAACGTCTACTCGCCAAAACCAACATCTGATTATTACACTCAAGGGCTCTCTAAGGGGTACAGGTAGAGTTTACCTGCATGAGTAAATGTATTTCAACAGTAAAAAACTGTCTATCATATCATTTTCTTTTCAATATACAGTAGCTTGTAATGGAGTGAAATATTTTATGTGTGTTAAATATTTTTTTTTATTGTTATTTATTTCTTAATCATGGTTTCAAAGCTAATGTCAAAGCAATTTTTATTTGCATAATAAAACTCAAATTGTACAATAATTTTATTTTTTCATCATAATTTACCAAGAAGCATAACAATATTTGAAAACAAATCACTTTACTATGAATTATATACTATTTAATCAATCAAACTGTGTTTTAGTACATGATTTTTATCAGGTAAAAATCGCATTTAATTTAGACTACTTTGTTAAATCAAGGTAACACAGGTAAACTCTACCTGTACCCCTTAGAGGACCTCTCAATTGGATGTGATAATTAATTAGTTGTTTTAATGAGTAGATGCTTGGGGAATAAACCATCTTGAAAAGGGGGCAACCAGGTGGGGGTCGGGGACATATATTTGGCATAATTCAACAACATTTTAGGTATAATTAATGCAATATCCCACACCCAAAAATTAATTTATAAATCTTGTGTATAATTTTGATCACAAAAGGGGGATGGGATAGGCCCTCTCTAAATCTGCCAGTGATAAAAGTCTTGATAATAAGTTTAATAATACACACTGTGTATTGGTTTTTTCTAAAAGTAAAAAAGTCCATTTATCCTTGTCTGCATTATAGATTTAGGTTTTATCCACGTGCATGTATAAATAAATTTATCAAGTGTTTATGATGCAGAAAATATAAACATGATGTAATATAATTAACCCTAAACCTGTATATTTTTTATTCGACTTAGAATGGAGGTATTTTTAAAGATATGACTTCAATCTAGAATGGATTACATTCACAAATATTATTTATGTTTGACTATTACCATTTAAGTTTATAACTTTATATATAAAATTTTATATAACCATATTATTCAATATGTTGCCATCTCTTCATCCAAGCAGGATACACTTGAGCAAATAATCATCTCAGAATTCATGTTTTCTAAGGCAGGATATTAGTTCAAAATTAAAAATTCATTCCATCTCAAAATACAGATGAATATATCTTTTTTTCCTCTTAAGGAACAGAGAATAAAAAGAATCAATTTTTTTATGCTGCAAAAATATTCAAAATTCTGCAGACAGTAATTGTTCTCAATCGAAAGATCATGCTCCAATATCCAACCAAAATACAGTTAATGTAAATGTTTTTAACTTTGTATATATCATTTCATACATGAAATGTGGGAGATGCAGTAAATATTATTTGTATTCATGTATTGAAAAATAAATTTTTTGTTTGGAGATCTCAGATTTATAGAATACACTGCTTTCACATGAATCAGAAACAACTAAAACCAATATCTGATTTTGACCTAACCATTTATTATCTTTTTTCTCTTTTTGTTTTTAACAGTTTTCACAATGGATTGCTCATCAGTATGTTTTCTTTTTGACTTTTTCTTAATGTCCAACTCTCTCTTTTCTTTCTTCTTTGTTTTTGTTTGGACAACCTCCATGTTTCCCCAGATTTCATCCTCATTGACTTCCTCATCTGACAAAACTTCAGTCTTCACAACAACATCTTCATCATCATCATCTGTTTCTTTCTTTTCCTCCCAACTCTTCTTCAGAAGAAGTGAGGTAAGCCTTGACTTCAGATATATTTTTTGATGAGATTTATCTTCTACAGAGTGAACGTGTAAATATCTGTCCAAACCACAGGAAACTATGACAGGCAAAGTAGAATGATGTTCAATAGCACGAATGGCACCAGCAAATCCTTTGAAAACTTGAACTAGTCTGCCCTTTCGTACGTCTAAAATTGCCATTTTGCCGATGGTGTTCCCTACTACAATCTGGTTCTCATTCCTTGGACAAAGTGATGATGCAGTGATTGGATATTCATCGAATGACATGTCCAGTATCGGTCTTCTTTGTGCTTTCATGTCATACATCCTAACCTGGTGGTGACCTGTGGTTGTTAGAATTTTCTCAGACATAGGAATAAATTTAGCACTGGTCACCCATACTGGTACTCGTAAATCAAGCCAGTCGTTTCGAACATTTTTGGCCGTGAATTTCAGTTTTTCTGACGATTCAACGTCCCAGATTTTTAATTCATTTTCTTTACCTCCCGTTGCAAAAATGTTTTTCTCAATCGGATTTTGGTCAAAAGCGAACACATCTTTCCCAGCATTGATCTCCGTATTCACTCCGCCATTACTCCATAATCGAACCAAACCTGTGTCTACACAAGAAACATAATTACCATTTAAAATTTTCACACCTCTGAGTTTTGATTCCTCTGTTCCTAAACTCACAGTCTCGGTAAACGATCGAGTTCGCACGTTCCATGATATCACATTTTTATTTTTCAGTCCCATACATACTTCAGTCTCGGTTTCATCCTTCCAGCAAAGAGATACAACTTCTTTAGATTTATCTAAATTTTCGTTTAAATTTGTCCATTCTGCCTTTAAAACATTTATTCCTTTTAAAAGACCTGTTTCTGAGCCCACAAACACGCTGATTCCTTTGACCATGGGCGCAGCCATTATTGGAAACTTAAAGAATAAAACTCAACGGACAAAATTTGAATATCCGGAATAAACTCCATTTCATTAAGGATATCCGATCCTCAGCTAGGAACGATAACTCTAAAATCTAATATTTTATTTAAAAAGTCTCAAAATGAAGCTTGAAATTGAAATATTTTCTTGCAACAATTTTCATTATATGCATCACAATATGATGTGATATTGTGCAATATGATTCAAGGTTCTGTGAAGTCTAAGAAATGATATTGTATAAAGCTGATATTTGTATCCCACAAAAGTACTAAAATAAATTCATTTTTAGGGAAATCCGAAAACCTTTCATCTAGCATTAGATACCAATGCTTATTAACATTATATGGAATTAAAAGTGATCTGTCATGTCTAGCAATGATAGCACAAGCTTTTTACTTCATGTAGAATATAACATTTGAAGTAAATAGAAGAACTAAAATACTGTGTAAGTGTGCAAAATATGCAATTTTCTCCAAATGTCTGGATACCTATAGTTTTTCTAAAAATATACTTGATCAATTTTGAATAAGAAAATCCATAGCTGGTGCTTTTATTCGCATTTACTGAAAATACGTTTGAGATTTGATGATTTTCCCTATATAATGTGGTTAACTTTACTGATTAATTTTGAAGATATACCACGGATAAAATAATACACGTTACTCTGTGAAATCTAAAACATTTTTGTGAGCATTTTAGATTACTGAAAAGCTGATTTTCAGAACCTGAGGATCGGACTACCTTAAAATATCAATTTCTTCGTTCGGAAATGCACTGATCAAGTTAGTTTGAGGCAATTTTGATTGAATTTGACTATTAGGCATTGTATATGCATTGATAAATATGAAAAATAAAGAAAAAAGATGACTACCCAGTATTAGATATGCCAACTGAATCTTCTATGGAATTCGGACCCATGCATTTAAGCATTGAATTCTAATTTTTGAATGTCGTCGGTCCTATAACACACCTGGCCGTACCGACCAATTGAATACCGCGAGTTAAATTTAAATGTTTAAATACTTACAAAATGTAAAATAAAAATATATCTTTTTAATCCGTGGGGCTCTCATGATCAACATATTTTTTACCTGAATAAAATTACTTTTATATCGCCTTTATATGTACATGTATAAAGAGGATATTCAATGTTTTGTAGATGAATATGGAATTTATTTCACGAGTGAGACAGGATTTTTTGATATTTTCACGAGTGCGAAGCACGAGTGAAAACATTAAAAAATCCTGTCTCACTCGTGAAATAAATTCCATATTCGATCATCTACAAAACATTGAATTTTCTGTTTATTACATTTTCTTTGATTTTCCCTCTCCCCCACAGGCACTTGGGGTATGGACCTCCCCCCCCCCCCTTTTCCATTTTTTTTTCTTTTTAAATCTGGGGTCGAGTCACCTTTCTCCTATTTTTGTATTCTAATATGCACTGTATGTTATCAATAATGTAACTCTTTTGTCTCTATGAGCTGTTTTTAAATATATCGTTTTCGACTGATACATAAAAAGAGAGAAGGCTTGCAACTCTTTTCTCATCGTCTGTCTCACCTTGCTTAAACTTCGCCGGATTATTTATCGAAAGAATAAGAAAACATGGAATATGCATACATCAATAAATTCGTTATACATTCTTCTTCCTTTTCATATTTCCATTTAGTTTTTATGTGCCCCGATTTGTAAATATTTCGACTAAATCACCCGCATTTAGGGTAATTTTTTTTGATGTGCATCAGCTGGGACGGAAGTGCCCGGTATTTTCGGGTATCATCATTACGGTAATGTCATTCGGAACATTAAATGCGAGAAGGAATAAATTCCGAATTTTCTCTTCAAATAACATGTAACGGTAAGTTCTGTGAATAACAAGATAACTTTAACTGGCAAATTCTAATGGATGAAGATTAACTTTTAACAGACGACCTAGAAAACCAAATTTCACAATACTGTTATTAAAAAGCCTGGAATTTTTTTAAATGCAGAACATTTATATAGTCTTGTCCCATGATCCCTCGCAGTGCGAGGGATCATGGGACAAGACTAAACATTTATAAAGTTAGAGTTACCGTTATTGCACTTCCGTCCCAGCTGGTGCACATCAACAAAATTTACCCTAAATGCGGGTGATTTAGTCGAAATATTTACAAATCGGGGGCACATAAAAATTAAATGGAAATATGAAAAGGAAGAAGAATGTATAACGAATTTATTGATGTATGCATATTCCATGTTTTCTTATTCTTTCGATAAATAATCCGGCGAAGTTTAAGCGAGGTGAGGCAGACGATGAGAAAAGAGTTGCAAGCCTTCTCTCTTTTTTGCCATAGAAAAAGGGAGATATTTGTCTATACCCACAGATAAAAGATTTTGTAATATTTGCAACACAGGGGAGATTGAAGATGAATTTCATTTTCTATTCAGCTGCCATAAATACAATAATCATAGGTTAACTTTTGAAAGGAACTTGATGAATTTTTTTCAAGGAAAAATATCAAATACTCTGGATTCATTTTATTTTTCTGTAGCCAGTTTAAAATTCCTTAGGTCAATACCAGTTTTTCCAGGAGCGAAACTCTATAGAGTGTTTGAAAAAGAAACCCCTCCCCCCTTTTGACGTTATTTTCAAGCCCATAATTGTTTGGACACTCCATATAAAATTTACGATAAAATTTCATAGAAATTACAGAATGGGGTAAAAATTGCAAATTTTACTGAACAAATGTGTCGTACCACATGCCTGAATTAACGAGATTTTTTGATGACAAATACTCATATCTAAAGAGTTTTTCTCAGTTACAATCAGGTAGAAAAAAACGTCATATTAGAGGTTGCGCCGCCTGGACATACCTTTGCTTACAAAAACACTAACAATTTATTAAAAAATAAAAATTATGATTTATGGTTTATTCTATAGATAGAGAAGATGATGCTAACTTAATGTGTAAAAATTCATTGATGTACCTAAAGCGGTTTTAATTTTATGACGCTAGTCCACGAACTTTTTGATAACCCCTCGTATGTCTTATGCTCAAAAAGTTAAGCTTTGCTTTAATAGCCATTGTCCAGAAATACTGAAAATAACACACTCACTTATTAAAAAATGTCTTGCATCTAGAAATGATTGCATTACATAATTATTATACAAATGATGTGTGATTTATAATTATGTATAGCCTCACATTCTATACTAAAATATTGTGTATTTATGTATGAACAATCGATTTTTCTTATAATGTGTTGTGCCTTTGCCAATTATTGTAATTGTGTTTGTGCCAATAAATATTTGTATTTGTATTTGTATGTATCAGTCGAAAACGATATATTTAAAAACAGCTCATAGAGACAAAAGAGTTACATTATTGATAACATACAGTGCATATTAGAATACAAAAATAGGAGAAAGGTGACTCGACCCCAGATTTAAAAAGAAAAAAAAATGGAAAAGGGGGGGGGGGTCCATACCCCAAGTGCCTGTGAAATAAATCACAGTATTTCAGTGTTGAAAATGTAATAAGTAGTAATATTCAATCATCTATACGCAACGGGGAAAATCTGCATTCTGTAACCTTTAAAATTCTTCGGATCTTCTCACCCTTGGACAAGAAATAATGGTTTTATAAGATTATTTGGTGCTTTTGTTCTGATTTATTTCTGTTTGGCTAGTGAGGGAGGATTGAGCTCAACTTGGATTCAGCCTCTGTTAGTTTTGGCCTTAAAAGAAAACAAGTTGTAAGACTACAATTTTATTTTAGAGAAACCGCAACTCACACTATTAACAAATAACAATAAAATAATTAACTTTACAAAACCTCCTGAAAAATAAATAAATTATAAAAAACATTTCATTTTCCAACATATTACAGTTCAGTTTCGTTAACTTTAAAAATAGTATATAAATATGATTAACATAAAGATGATTGACTATACATGTACGTACCTTAAAAGAAAACAAGTTATTAGACTACAGTTTTATTTTAGAGAGACCGCAACTGAGGTTGTCAGGGCGCGCACGGCCATTATATACCCCAGAACCGATTTCTATGACAATTCCACAACTTGTTAACTTTTTCAGTACCCAGGTGACATGACCGTATGTGGTCATCGTGTGATCAGTGTTTTCGTAATTGTAATTAAGAATTAACCTTTGCCAAATTTGGAATTTCGTATTTCATAAATTCAATTTAAGACGTGTTTAAAGTCAATAAGTTTGACAAAAATCAACATTGTTATCCCCGGAGAACACTGACCACCTACATGAAATATTTGATCTACTGATAGTGATTTACTTTATTACTCAACCGCCTGGTCCGAATACACAATTTGTAAATAAGAGTTACGAAATATGTTTACAATCTGTCAGTAATAAATGCCAAGTAATTTCAAATATGACCTTGCACTGAGTATAAAGATTACACGCTTAAAACTAATAGATATTATTAAATTACAACAAAAAATGTGAATAATACAAAAATTCTTTATAATATTAATGGATCCTAGGTTTATTATTCAGACCCTTGTTCCTTTTTTGGAATATTCTGTGTGCACGATAAATGTGTCATACGAGTGTACATGTAGGTAAACTCTTTTTCTCGCAATTCTCTATTTTTCGCTCTCATTTAGTGGCTTCCCTTGTCCCACCGTGTGTAATACAGTCATCCCAGTCTGGCCAAAATTTTGCCTTCATCCTCTCACAGTAACTACACAGATTTTCAAACTCTGAAATTAAAGATAAAAGGAATAATTGTGTAAAATTGTAAAAAGTATAATTAGAAAAATGAAAATAATTAAATCAGATTGAAAATATACTTGTATATCAAAGTATCCTTTATTTGAAATTTTCTAGTCTTACTTTGGAATTCCTGTTCTGTAAACGAACCAAATCCATGCCAGTAGCATTGGGATAGGATTCCAAATACAGCACAGTCCGCTTGACAAGGTTCCTCTCCAAGCAAAAACTTTTTCTTCCCTTAAAAAACAAATAATATACCAAATAAAGAACCATATTCAAGCAAACTTAACTGCTATTTTCAAACTATTCAATCACACGTTAATAAAACAGAATAATTTTGTTTCACATACCTAAGAAAGAAGAGAAGTTCTGAAGGCATTCAGTAATGAGTGTCTGTACCTCCTCTTGAGAATGGCGACCTATTCCTTGCGCATGCGCTAGTTTTATTGCGTAACGTTTCCAATTTTTTCTAAATATCCAAGGAATTTTGATATATTTAAACACTTCTCCTCCTTCATCATGCACCCAGCGTTGTAGAAGTAGTGCCCTGATTTAAAAAAGAAAAACTTAATTGAATAATTTTGATTCTTCCAATGTCACTAACGTAATAGTGACATTATAATTTTCCTCTGGAATATAACTATAGTAATTTCATATACCAGAACTATATCCATTGAACACAATTTTCTTCTTTATCAAAAATTCTAAATGTGCTCTATATTTCAATATCAATCACATTCACTGTACAAAAATAAATACAGAATACTGGTAATAGTAAAAATTATTGCAGTTTTTCGAATATTCGAAGGGAATTTTATGTTTCCAAATTCAATAAACATGTATAAGGGATCATTATTGTAGTTTGTCATTTCTACTAGCCCCCTCCCCAACTTTCTTTTCTTTCTTTTTTTCAAATTCCAAATCCTTGGGAAAATGAAAAATTGTAAACATATTTGAGAGAATATTGAAAACAAATTGCTGAAATCTTACATTACTACAATAAAAAATTTCAAGGTTAGATCTGAGAGTTTATATAGATTCTCGTGTCAACAATTACCAGTAGAAATACTCTTCAGCCGCTTTTTGAAACGAATATGCGATGGCCTTTTCTTCGTCTGTGAAGTCTTTGTCCAAATTTGTGTTAAGAATTTTATTAATAAATTTGATACAAAACTCAGAATCTGCCACCTCTTCGCCATTGTATTCAATCCATGTTAGCTTTCCCTTAGAACTTCTGTTGACATCACTGTCGAATTCATTCTGGTTTAAATTCAGTATTGAACATTTTATATAACAAACACATAAAATATGCATTTAATAATTGAATTACAATGACAACAACATTTAATAAGGCTACATAGACACATTGACGTTTTTGATTCGGTTAAACATATATCATTTGTCCTAATCATGATTTTGCAAAAAATTAATTTCATCTTTTTTTCATACTCAACATCAAACCTGATATGGAATTTTTGCCATCCTCAAATAAGTCTCCAGTTTTACAGCAAACGGAGTAAGACTAGGGGCAAATGGACCTCTTGGTACTGTGTGGTGAATTACCGTGTCTCTTGGGTAAGATTTCCTAATAAAAACACACAAAGATATAGACACAATATACTGTGATAATTGATAAAGCCTTCACTCCATCCTTTAATATACGTTATTAATAAACATTTAATAATATTGATAAAGATTTGTGTCCCATACATGCATAGGGCACGAATTAAAAACGAAAATAATACCCGAGGAAAACGTAGCTACTGCTAGGCTAATGCAAGCTATCAGTATGACATGTCAAACATTGAATATTTAATCTTTTCCATTTGTTTTGTAAAAGTTCTTATTTGTATTGTATATTTTTTTATTTGCATTCTATACATTTTATTTGTATTTTATAATTTTCCATTTGCAGTCTATATTTTCTATTTGTATTGTAAAATATTTTATTTGTATTGTATACAATAATTTTTCATTTGTATTGTGTGCGAGGAATTGTTTCGTTATGAAGGACTTCATTTGACAAATTTTAGCCTGTATCGTGTTGAAAGTTCTGGGCACTTAAAGGGAATTGGGCCCCTGTTTGCATGTAAATGGATGACCATTTGATTCTGAAAAGGAACGAGGGTGGGGCGGCTGGCAGATTTTGGAAATGCATGTAACCTGTCCTCAGAAATGATAAAAATAAATAAAGAATGAATTTTGTGGAAATAACGAACAGAATTCGAGCTCAAAAGTCCATTAAACATTAAAAAATAGGTGCAGAGCAAACACGGACCTCCAAAACATCAGAGGTGGGATCAGTTGCCATGAAGGAGTAAGCATCCCCTGCCGACCGGTCACACCCGCCCTGTGCACCTTGTCATGATCGGGAAATAACGGAAAAATCCGTCGACAAATCAGTGTGTAAATAATGACTTTATGGAATTTGACTTAATGAAAGATTGTATTTCCTGAAAAGGTCATTATATCGACAATGGAACTTATGAAATGATGACTTTAAACGAGACTGTGGATATTCTTGTTTCATCAACTTATTTGTCAATAGTTTACCTCGCTTTACAAATTGTTCATAAGTAGAGCATACTCTTGCGTATCGAATCAACTGAGAGATATAAACCCCGTATGCAGCTGATAAGGATATATTGCTGCATAAGTAAGGGAAGTTGACGATTGAAAAGTTAAAGTCAACACGTTTATCATAAGGCTTTGTTGTTAGATTACCATTAACGTCTTTTTCTAATAAAATATCCAAATATGAAAAAGATGTGTCAGACTCTGTGGTATCTTTTATCTCAAACTCACCGGGATATATCGTGTCGACATAAGAATGGAAATGACCATTGTTAATTGACAATACGTCGTCGATATATCTAAATGTCGAGTGGAAGGCCACAGCAAGTGTTTTTTTTCTTTTCATGTAAAAGATTTTGAATAAAGTCTGCTTCATATGAATACAAAAATAGGTCTGCTAATAACGGGGCGCAATTGGTACCCATGGGAATTGCAATAGATTGTTGGAAGACCTGGTCTCCATAAACCACATAGATATTGTCAATCAGAAACTTGAGCATCTTTTTAATATCAACTTCAGAGGTCTTGTGTGTACAATCAGATTGTTTTTCAACAAAGTAATTTTGCAAATGACCAATGACAAAGTAAGTAAATTTACGAGTTCAATTTTTATTGAAAAAGCAGCTGTTAACGATGTAAAAAAAAGTCTGGACTTTAATTTATCGTGGGGAATAGTTGTATATAAAGTTGAAAAGTCATAAGTTTTTATGTTGTTGATTTTGGTAAAATTTTGTGATTTCAAATGTTCCAAAAGTTCCTTGGAATTTTTTAGTATATCCACATCTGATTTACACCACCTCCCGAATATATTGTTGCTCAGTACTCTTGAAGTTTCTCCTTTACTACTGTTAATATCTTAGTGAGGAGAAAAGAAAGAGGCTTGGTAGAACATTTACTGGAACCCGCTGTGTATCTTTGTTTGTAAGGATTTTTATGAGGTTTCGGAATCCAATATAGATATGGTAATTCAAATTCATGTTGGTTGTTGGGAATATTAAAAATATTCAAAACTGACATATGATTTTGAAGAATTTCCTCCTATGGGTATAAGTTGGATTACCACTTGTAGAATTAAATCCCAGTTCCTCTAAAATACAATTCATATAATGAGATTTACAAACAAAGACACTGTTGTTACCTGCTTTGTCAGCAGGGACCAGTACGTACTGTCTATCTAATTCTTTTTTCACTTCTGATTTTTTGAATACAGAAGGATAGATGATCCGTCCTTCACGTGGAAGAGAATCTGGTCTTGACTGATGGCAGATTTTCTTCTTTAACTGAGCTTGTAATTTTTTTTCCAGGGAAGAAAATAAATTACCTGTCCCTGGTCATCTAGGAAATAAATATTCTGTCCTGATAGGGGATGAAAATAAATAATCTGACTAGGCAAAATATCCCAGTCCCCCTCTTTGGAATCAAATGGTCGTTCCCTAATATGCACGCGAATGAGCACCAGGAAGTATGTTCGTTTTCAACACATTATACTGACTGAAACTTGACCAATGAAATACAAATGAAAATTTAAAAAAAAAAATACAATACAAATAAAAAAAATCAAATTACAATGAAAATAGAAAATATGGAATAAAAATTAAAAAAAAAAAATCCTAAAATACAATTGAAAAAAATTACTATACAAATAGAAAATATGGAATACAAATAAAAAAAAATATACAATACAAATGAAAATTTTACTATACAAATGTAAAATTATGCAATACAAATGGGGAAAAAACAAAAAAGGAAAATCTTTTATACTAATTTATACTAATGGGATAATATAGAATACAAATTAGAAAAAATAAAAAAAATACAAACAATAAACAAATGCAAAACAGTTTGAAAAGATTAAATATTGCAACCATGCCATTCTCTCACCTTGAAATAAATAGCCATATTTGGTCTATGAAGTAAGTGTAAACATGATAATTAGCTGTATAAATAGATTGAATTTTCAACTACGACTCAGACACAGAATGCATAATTTACATTGTATTACAAAAAGAGTAATATATTTATTAATTTTTTGGCCCCCAGCGTTGTCGCCTTTGCTCTCTCGTGCTGTCGCCCAAGCAGGTTTGGTCTTGGAACTAGAGGTCCTATCACGCAGTGCAACAACACAAGCTACATGTGTATTATTAGTCCCCTACCGGTGAAACCGGAGGGGACTATAAGTTTCCTTTGAGTCTGTCCGTCCGTCTGTCTGTCTGTCTGTCTGTCCGTCTGTCCCTCTGTCTGTCTGTCAGTCTGTCCCACTTGGTTTTCCGCCCTTTTTTTCCTAAACGCTTGCAGATATTGAGCTGATTTTTGGTATGTGAGTGTATCTTGATGAGTTACAGATCAAGTTTGCATTTCGTTCCGCTTCATTGATTTTTGACGGAATTACGGCCTTTTCAATTTTTACGGGTTTTCCGCAATTTTCTTCTAAACGCTTTCATATAATGAGCTGATTTTTGGTATGTGACTTTACCTTGATTAATTATAGATCAAGTTTGCATTTCGTCCCGCTTCATTGATTTTTGACAGAATTATGGCATTTTCAATTCTTAAAGGGGAACCAGATTACACTTGCCGGTAGGGGACTAGTATTGCTAATGCAATACTCTCAGAATGCTTGTTATGTATATTATTATGCGCATTCACTGATCAACAAAACACACTCGCTCCTTATTGTCATGTTCTAAATTCTGCATTTACTGAATGGGAGTATGTATAAAACTTAGAACATAGTATTTACTCACATTCAGTAAATTCAAAATTTACGCAGTACAGTTAAGGTGACAAATGGAAATATCGGCGAATTTTTATATAGAAAATACATTCTTTACAAGGATGGGCGATTCTTTTTAGGACTTTACTATTATCAGACAAATGTAATGTGGTTGAAACTACATGTTGGGGACGATTAGATTTCTTACCTAGACTTGTGACGTAATGTGGCAGTCACGTGATTTTAGCAAATATACCTGCAGTATTGAGGTCATCTATAAATTCCAATATTGCAAGGGCATAACCACGTTGAAAATCTAAGTTTAATTTATATAATTATTTTCAACACTCTTTGTAGTTTGTGAAAAGTGCTGCGAACCTATATAGATTCTACTATATGACTGCTAAAAATACGTTTGTTAGACCGTATGCTGAATATTTTGCTGGTCAAGTACATTAAATATAGATATAATTAATTCATTTGCAAGATTTCATCAGGTTCGCAGCACTTTTTAAACATCTTCATACCTCTTGAGTTTATGTGTAAAAGCTTGTCATTATTCATTGAGGGTATGCCCTTGCAATATATCGATTTATTACGACTATTCTATTACCCTTCAATGAATCTGCATACAAATATACGGCAGTATCGCTTGTCTAGGAAATGTACTGGAAGTATATGATTAAAATCATAAAATATACATCGCATCCAAGTTAATGGCCTCTTATATATCTGCAAATATATTTTATTTACTTACAAAATACATTTTTCATTGTATAAAATATAACTTGATCCGCCTCTCACTGCATACATTTTGCGATATGACATCACATTGACAAGTGCATTGCGATCAGTGAATTGTTTATATATTGCTCTGTGGGATTAAACCAACGACAAAAATACATGCAAAAGTAAGTATTGATATAGGTTAAAGCTATCCAACAGTTTAAAATAGCATATCATTTCATTTCATGGTAATTTGAAGAACATATTTGTGTGATGTCATAGTAAGCATTTCCCGTAAAAATTAGGCCCCGCCTCCTTATTGCAGCCTTAACTGTGCTGCGTAGAACGTGACATTATTTCAAGTCAACATTATACTAGACTAAGTAATTCATTTACTTTTCACACCCATAAAGGTTAACTAATAGGTTGCAAATTAAAAATTTAATTGCTCTTTGCAAACAAAATTATTTTTTACATTAAAGAATAATTCAGTTGGATTTTTGACCCCCTTGGCTTTCCATATATAGGCCTATAAAAAAAAGTCAAAATACATGTTTGAAGTTTATATAACATACTTAATTTTCTTCGTGTGCTTCTTATACACAGCCATGACAGTAAATCCGATAGCAGCAGCCACACATATCTCTTTAAGATGAGCAACCACGAATGTCTTCACGCCTTCCATTGCACTGCTTATCTATGTCATTCCACCGAAAAAGTTCAAGGTGAGCATAATGCATCCGGTTCGATATGCATGAATTCATCATTTACGGACGCCTAGTCAATAGAAACGTCTTCGGATGTTTGAGTATAAAAAGCTCTATTTTCTAATTATCGTTTTGTTTTATTTCCACACTTTTTTCATTGACACTAGGATTTCTTAATTTTCATTTTTACCGAAGATAGGCGAATTAAAAAAAAATGTCCAAACACATATTTATCAACCTGCACTAAAAATACAGGCAATGGGAAAAATTTCTATGACTCGGCATATGTCTGTGGCGGATCCAGAAGTTCATGGGGGGTGGGGTGTTGAAGCCCATAGGGCCGAAGGAGGAGTGTATGGGTGCCCCCTCCCATAGGTGGAAGTTCCGGGGGCCTCCCCCGAGATATTTTCTTAAAAGATGGCTCCAAATGATGCATTTTCCAGCATTTTAGATGGAATTATTTAGATTTTTGACTTTTTTTTTATTGTAGCTTTTTGTGTTCAAGACCAACCTACCCAAATTTTCAAGAATTTGAACAAAAAATTTAAATTTTGGGATTATTTTTAACTTCCGTATAAACATGAAAAAAAAAAAAATAAATGTAAAATCTGATAAATTTAGAAATATCGCCATTTGATATATAATATCCAATTCTTCATTTTAAAATGCACGTTCAATGTGTCGCATGTGAAGCGCTGACTACCAAAATAAATCCGAAGAGCAATTTCCCAACACTTAGAAAATTTGGATTCTGTGTAGAAACCCTAGCTACTCTTTTCATCTACTTGACTATACTGTTCATATAATTTGCAATATAAACAAATAATAATATTTCATATTGAAGAATAAACATAATTTGTTTTGGGAAATTATTGGAATTATTGCTTATTCATGGGGGGGGGGGGGGGGGTTAACTATAATTTCTAACATAAATGCACTCTTTAATGCTATTGTAACGACACCGGATAAGCGCACTGGTGTATAATAATAAAATAAAAACTAATTTCTTTCTCTCTACTTCCAAATTAAAGGTGAAAGTGAAATAAAGACAAGTCTTGTAAATTTAACAAATAAATGGTTTATTCTGAACACATTTTGTATTTCTATGAAACAGTAATTCCAAATAAATCCTTAAAACCTAAGTATTCTGTACTTGTTATTGTATTGAGACTGGTAGATTTAACCAGTAATTGAAATAACAACGGATAAAATATCCGTAAAATAATTCTAATAATTTCAGACCGATATATCACGGTAAACAGCTCAGCAGATAGCTGTAAATAAACTTACTTATTTATAACAAACCATGACCAACTCCATCCCAAATATTCTAAAGTCTTTCTCCCAAAGTAAATGTAATAAAATTAACAAAACTAAAATAACGCACCTTTCTACAACCCAAAATCAGTCAAAATCCACTGCTGTCTGCTGCAACTCTTGTTTATATACGTAGTAAAATGACATCATGAAACGAGACCAATCAGTAACGTCGCGTAAATTACAACAACCAATGAAAAACATGACGGGATGCTCTAGTTCCCACAACAAATTCTCACGCTTACGAGAAAGTAATAAAAATAAAAGAAACATTTATTTTCTAGCCTCATTATTTCTAGTATCATTAAATATCTATACAAGCATTAACAATAAATTATAATTGAAATATAGCGCTCGTTAAACTTCGTAAACACATGGCGCTTTGCATTATGGGAGTCGGCCATAGCTAAAACAATAGGTACCACGAGGTCCTAACAATAAAGTAAAACAAGTATAAACAGTGGAATTCAGGTAATTATGCATGTATAAAACTAGTCTTTACTTAGTGGACAAATTATCTCACACACCATTTATACTTTAATGACAAAACGATCAAAATACGCATCATAAAACAAACTGCACAAATCAAACTTTAGGGGGCGATGTCAAAAGCGTAAATTATGTACAAGCACATACGAGTATGAGTATCAACAATAAATACATACGTAGCTTTATTCTTAAACTATTTTTTTTTAAACCCACTTACCAATTATATTTCATATTGAAAAATAAATATATATAAATTTGGAAAATTGTTGGAATTACTGCTTATTCATTTGGGGGGTGGGGGTGGGTTAATTATAATTTCTAACTTAAAGGTACTCTTTTATTCTTTTTTTACCCACGTACCAGCCTAAAGTTTGAAAAAAAGTCTTGAAAAACAATCAATAAAAAGATGGCAATTCTTGTTTTGGAAGGACCTCTACTTTATACATATTAGTTTTACCACAGTTCATTATACAAAGTTGTAATCGTTAGTTGGGTTTTATCTTTTGCTTTTTGAAATTGCATTGTAACTTCCATCTACATAAGGAACACTTTCAACATGTTCAATGTGCTTTTTGGCCTAGGTCAAAACGTAAACAACTGGTAAACCGTTATTACTCGAAGGGTCTACTTTCCCAGTAGTAAAAGCAACTTGAATTTGTCATGAAAATATATACGTCCTTGACTGTATTAATTATTTTTTTTTCTAAAAAATAATAATAATAATCAGTTTATTCACGTAGTTCAATAAAGTAACATTCAATTATCGAAGAAAGAAGAAAATTCTTGAAAGAATATTAAATTACTTTAACAATACCAAAACAATGTGCAGTTTTGTTTGCTAGTATATGACCTTGTGTCATCAGCTGCATTCATGACCTCTGTACTGTTGATTACTTGTGTATTGTGTGCACTCAAGTGGAAAGGGATTTCTCGTGGTGGCTGTAGATTTTACCTCTTTGTGTAAACAATGGACTTGAATAGAGTCTCATTTATGAAATATATTGTTAAAATGACACTTGTAAAATTTTTTTTTTTTGATTGAGCGGGAGGGTTTTCCCGACCCCCCCCCAAAAAAACCCCAAAAAACCCTGAATACGATATGTATGTCTTTAGACAATGTCTAAATACCTGACAAATATCTCATTGATATCTCAATTCACTAAAATCTTATACCCAAAATGATACTAAAATGTCAGGAGTGCAACACCTTTTTGAAACATTTTGAAAATTCAATATTTTTTGAAGATCTGTGATATAAATAAAAATGGTTTATGTTGGAAGTAAAGACTTTCCTGATAATATTCAAAGTTTTGAGCTTCAATTGTAGACTGTATCAACTTATTTTTGTCCAAGTTGTGGTCATGGCATTCGTTGAAAAAAAAAATTTACGTTTATACCATGTCAGGAGTGCAACAGAAAAAAGTGGTGTTGCCAAAAAAACCATCAATTCTAAAAATCTGAAAGACAGTTAAGTCAAAAATGAATTTTCAAAGTGTAAAACAATAACTGATATACAATTTAAAGCTTAAAAATCTTTTAAAAGTCACAAGCAGCATTAATGAGAGTCAAGTATTTATGCATGCTCCATTCTTAACGAATACTCCGCCAGCAGATCGAAAACGAGGCCAAGGTCGGTATGCAAAAGAACATCACGTATGGCAGCTGTAAGTCACGATAAACATTGCAGTGTGCCGTTTTGTAATGGTAATGGCTGTCTTCACAAAGAATTATCTTTCCACAAGATTCCAACTCGACCTGATATCAGGAAAGCCTGGATTCAAGCGATCAGACGGGATCCGGGGCCTTGTTGTACTGTAATTATTTCATTCATATGATGTAAGCAAACGGCTTCACATTATCATTAATGATTGCTGATGTATATCCACCTAGATCTAAAACATATACACAATTACACTGTTTTCTTTTCTATTTTCCCTATGGCACTATAAAGTTAAAGATTACAATAAGACTAAATTGAAGTGTAGGCATATTTGATATATTTAGACCTATATACAGCTGCTATACCCTAAGTGGAAAACACTTGTAAAACGTGTAATATTCTGTTAATATTGTCTTGTCTACAACGAATCATTGTTTTCTTCAATTATTTTAGTTTCTGGTTATCTCTATCTTTAACCGCTTTAGTACAATACATTTATTGCAACTATCCTGAAGTGTATTGTATATCAAAATAACAAAGACAAATCACTCTGCAACAGGTCCAGAACAATCAATTGATTTAGCTATATGAAATATATGGAGATAACGTACAGTATTCAAGCTCAAAAGTCCATTAAACAATGCAAAATAGGAGCAGAGCAAACACGGACCTCCAAAACATCAGAGGTGGGATCAGTTGCCATGGAGGAGTGAGCATCCCCTGCCGACCGGTCACACCCGCCGTGTGCTCCTTGTCATGATCGGGAAATAACGGAAAAATCCGTCGACAATTCAGTGAGTATTTAAATAATGGCTTAACAATTAGTATGAAAAACGTCAGTCAGTATTTGATTCAATGATAAATTGTATTTGCTGACAAGATCATTGTATCGACCATAGAACTTACGAAATGATGACTTTAAACGAGACTGCTGATATTCTTGTTTCTTAAACTTGTTGAGCTATTCAAAATAGCTTGATAAAGCTATTTATATGTAGTTTTTCAGAAAGAAAAGTTTTTTTGTAAGAAATAGACAAAAAGTCGCATGTATTTTAATATTCGTATATGTACTATGAGCTATCAAAACAACAAGCAAAATCAAAGATGTTCTAACATTGCATCATTTGAATACTTTTAAGCAAAAGATGAATTTCCATTGTTTGGGTAACTGTAAGCTACCTTTTGTGCGTTGAGGCATGGATAAGTATGATTGCTTCTCATTGTACTGAATTATTACCAGTCAATTATCTTGGTGACCATAATTGGCCTCCTTTATAATTTCATTGAAGAACTGTATCACTTGCTTTATATAGCCCCAAAACATTTAGAACGTTGAGTACAAAGTCTCTTAAGGAGACACAATTTGGTGACTGAATATTACATGCATTATTTTCAGAAGAGTTGAAGGTTGAATATTATCACTGCACCAAGGTGTTACTTTTTGTGCATGTTGAGAAAATAACACATTCAAGCCCATTTAATTATGTAATTCTTCAATATACATGTAATTTAAAATGTTAAAATCGCCTTGGTGTTCAATAATTTATT